TGGAAAAAAAAAAGTCGAGGGTAGGGTCAGGGTCCACTTTGGGTCGATGTGAGGTCGATGTACGGTAGATGTGGTCGTGGATGGAAATTAATTGCGGAGAAGTAGGAAGGGTTTGGGGTAAGTAAAACATTGTCTTTCGTGCTAAAAAGAGCTAGCTTGCCTTTGCCCGCCGCCCGGTTAGCTCTGTTGGATAAGCGCCGGTCTGCCGAGCGGGAGGCCGCTGGTTGAGGTCCCGGCCGGACCGACACTCAGGGTCTTTAAATAACTGAGGAGAAAGTGCTGCCTTTGTAAAGACATCTGCAAACGGTTAGACTTTCTAGTCTTCTCGGATAAGGACGAAAAACCGTAGGCCCCGTCTCACAACCCTTGCATATATAAATCCTGTGGGACGTTAAAGAACCCACACGCTGTTCGTAAAGAGAAGGGGTCGTAGTCCCGGTGTGGTGGTCTATCTCTATCTTTGATGTTATGACGGAGGAAATTAGAGAGGGTAAAAATAGTAACCCATAGGGTAGGTGTTAGGCACTCCCCGCCCCCTACCCCGCTCCTTTTGACTAGCCCATTTTCTCCTCTCTTTTCGAATTTCAGCATGGCGCTTTCGCAAGCAAAACATTCGCGCGCCCGAAGAAAACGTCTGCACTGCAGGCTATGTAAATCATTATCATGTTCTTTCATTTATTTATTGCCATGGAATGCGTTTACATTGTTTTTCTACTGTTAATAGCTAGGTTAATGTCGATTTAGAAAAAATACCTATCACCGACTCTGGTTTTTGCAGAAAAATGTTCAGCGTAGATTCATTTTCTCCTTTCAGTGCGAAGAAAAGTTTTGGTATGTTGTTATTGGCAATGGCTTCAGAAATTGTTATTTACAATTAAATTTAATTTGCAAAACATTTCCTTTGAGCGCTTTTCGCCATTTTGTATTGCCAATGCCGGGAAATCGTGGGTTGAAATGTCTGTTATTCGGAGACATGACTGTGCCTTCTTGATTAGGAGCGAGACACGGATTAATTGGTGACGATTAAAAGTCGTGCCTGCGGCGGCCTCTGCTGCTGCTGCCACCACCATCGTTCACATCAATATACTCATCAACGTTAACTGCGCATTCGGCTTTTCGCGCAAAACCTCCAATACCTCCTCGCGGGAGTTTGTGCCATTCAGTTCCTCCTCCACTGACACGAAATTTAAGATCTGTTAGTGCCACTTTGGCAAGATTTTCTTCTGCCGTCTTGTTGCAAACCTTCCACTTGTTTGCAAATTCCAATCTGAAAGGATTCCCAGCAACAAGATCTCGTCTTCGCTGAAGGGGATCGTTTGAATAACCCACCTTAACGAGTGGGGGTGGGTAGATGCCCGCGTCACTCCCCACCATTTTAATGATATATACATTAACCAGGATCAGTTGGCTGTGACCTGGGAGACGGGCACTTAGAGCTAGTTTCCTCGGATTCTGGACAACGCGGATTACTCCCTCTTCCTTTCTTGCGGTCGGGCGAACCGTTGTTGTCGCCACCGTTCTTGCCTTTGCCGCCGTTGTGTCCGTGTTTTTGTCCGGTTCGTCTTCCAGAGGGCTTACTATATGTTCTGCGATTGAGAACTGTTCTTTTGTTAGCTTCTTCTTCGGCGGATTCTATATAACCATTCTGCAACATCCACACCAGCTTTGTTAGAAAAGAAAAGAAAAACTATAAAATCCTGATTTTTTGGACCCCTTGCATATGGAAAATTAATAAATAGGTTCGAAAGATCGAAACACCGGAATCTGAAAAAAACAACAACAACAACAACTGGTGAATGGCTGTAAAAGGGAAATCAGTCTTCATTTTGGTCCAAATAATCGGAATCGGAGCTTAATTTGTTCAAAACTAAATAACCTTCCGGTAATTTGACAATATTTATATATTTTTTACTTTTACATTGCAGTGTATTAGGCTTCACTTAAAGTTAAGCTGCGCAAGTAAACCAGGAGCCCGTACATTTTTGGGGTTTACAAAGTGAAAAAAGTCAAGTGTAGTCATTCTCTGTTTCGAACTCTACACGACACGCAGCAGAAATTGGACATACATCGCACATTTTTTTAGGTTTTGAGACCGGCATAAACATAAATCCTTTTTTTCTCTAAAATAGGCAGGGTCTAGTCTCCAAAATAAGAAGTTTCATTGACAGATCGATCATACACGTTTGTATTTCATCTATTCTTTCGCTGGTTTAAACGACCTAACTTCATATCATTCCTTTCGAGTGTGGGCCTCTATCTAATTCTTCACCAAATTTTACAGCTGTGATCGATTTCTTTGTCGCTGAGGCAGTGTCTTTCATTCTTTGCTGACTATTTATGAATATTTTCTCTGACGGTCCTTGTATTATAATTATAAACTTTGGTTTCTTGTGTGGCTTAATATTTGAGGGCTTTTACGCTAGTAAATTGGCTTTTTGAAAATTGATTTTATGTGGTACTTTTGTATTTTTTAGGTTAAATTGTTGCTTGCTCTTTAAAGTAAATTGTAGCTGCGGTTGTTTTGCTGAACTTGTCATCCTGTGGTGTTGCTCCTGCAGGCATTTGTTTGAATATTGTTTGATAGTTCCTCAAAAAAAACAAAAACAAAAACAAAAACAAAAACCAAGTGGGTGTTGTAATTATTGATAAATATTGTTAAACTTTTTGTGTATGAGAACATTAAGTTATTTATATAGTAATTGAACACAACTGAGCCGGGTGAAGTATGTAAATTCACAACTATTAATTTACAATTTAATTATTCCATAATAAATTAGGTGAAAAGGAAAATAATTATAGTGTTTGTAATTAAATAGTTAGATATAATAGTAATTAAAAGGAAAGTGGCTTAATATTTATCTAATAATCTTTTAGTGGTAATAATAATTATATTATTTAAGGAGAAAGCAAAGAAAAAGCTACATTAACATGAACAAAAGAATGGCATTTATTGTAATATTGCTAACAACTGTTTTGGTGTATGATTTAGTGTTTCATACTACTTGTTTTTTCCCTGAGCAATGCTATTGTTTGGTCATCTGGTGGCATCTGTTCTATACAGTCACAGTTACATGCCTTTTGCTGTATTACAGCATCTTGTTGAATCTTTCTCCAACTCAACCTCTGGCAGTGGGCCATATCATTCAGTTCTCTTTTACTTAGCAGCCACTGTCCTCATTCTGACTCTATCTGCTCTACCCTGTGGATTTCTTGCACTTTCTTATTTGGTAATCTCAACAACAGTTGGCAAGAGCTTTGATGCTAACTCTGTCTATCCCACAGATCTTCCCCTGTTGTTCCCTTCTTTGAATATTTTCTTTGGCATGTTATCAATTGGTTATCCTTGTATAAAACTGGTTGAATATCATTACCCTGGCTTTTGCTTTGCTATGGTGTTCAGGTCAAAAAGGTTACGTTACATCTATTTTAGTTGTTGATGTAACAGGGAAATCACACTCTTTTACCTTTGCTCCACATGGAATGGTCTTTGACTTGAAATCACACATTAATTCAAAATTCAACGTAACAAGTGATTTATACTGGCTTTCAAATAAAGGCAAACCATTACAACATGACTTTGTGCCTTTACAGGAAATATCAGCAGGCCAGTGTTATAATGAATGGGCGTTTAACTGGAGGTGCAAAATATTGCCTTAAGGGGTGCGAAAATGATATTGGCATTGGCAAATTTGACAGCTTAATTGGAAGGTATGAATTGAAGTTGTTCCCCAAGAACTTACTGATCAACATGATGTTAACAATCTAAGAGTGTGTAACAAACAGTATTCTAGTTTGGCATCCGGAGGGATGCCAAAGTGATGCCTATCATGGAATTTTGAAGGTCAATCCATGCATTGTGCAATGTTCACAGAGCAAAAAAAATGTCTGTCTTTCCAGTGACATTCCCTGCCTGAAACACAATATTAATGTGTTTAACAGTTTCACTTTGTTTTCAGTGGCATGCAACTTTCTAGATGCGCATTCGGCTTTTCGTGCAAAACCTCCAATACCTCCTCGCGGGAGTTTGTGCCATTCAGTTCCTCCTCCACTGACACGAAATTTAAGATCTGTTAGTGCCGCTTTGGCAAGATTTTCTTCTGCCGCCTTGTTGCAAACCTTCCACTTGTTTGCAAATTCCAATCTGAAAGGATTCCCAGCAAGAAGATCTCGTCTTCGCCGAAGGGGATCGTTTGAATAACCCACCTTAACGAGTGGGGGTGGGTAGATGCCCGCGTCACTCCCCACCATTTTAATGATATATACATTAACCAGGATCAGTTGGCTGTGACCTGGGAGACGGGCACTTAGAGCTAGTTTCCTCGGATTCTGGACAACGCGGATTACTCCCTCTTCCTTTCTTGCGGTCGGGCGAACCGTTGTTGTCGCCACCGTTCTTGCCTTCGCCGCCGTTGTGTCCGTATTTTTGTCCGGTTCGTCTTCCACAGGAAAAAATTGAGAGATTCCAAATTTGGAAATGAATTGGTTATTTATTGGTACAATATTGGGAAATCAATGAAAACTCCAACATTGGCAAGTCAAAAAAATAAAAATCCAAGGTTGGAATGTCATATTTGTTCTACCAATGTTGGTAACCTACGTAATAGTCCAACATAGGAAAAGTAAAATTCCTAGGTTGGAAGGTCATATTTTAGACTACCAAGTTTGGTCATCTATGTAAAACTCCAACATGGGAGCCATAACAATCCAAGGTTGGAAGGTCACATGTTATGTTACCAAGTTTGGTAATCTATGTTAAAGTCCAACATTGCCAACAACAAAAATCCAAGGTGGGAAACTCTTATATTGTTATTTTATAATCATCATTTGCTTTATTAGAGTCAACAAAATCACCCTTCCAGGAAAGAAGGTAATATAATCACTTTTACAAAGCACAGAGCAAACTGAACAAATTAAGAGATAAACAATCCAATGTACATGCACATGAATTACTGTTCTTCTTCTGACAGACATGAATCAGTGCAATCAACTGATGCAGTGGAGTCTGAGCTTGGTGAGGATGAACGGAAAACCTCATGTTTCTTAATTTCCTCTGTTTTCAACCATTCCCTGAGATCTTTCAATATTATGATCTTTTCTCTTTCTAGATCTCTGTAGTTGACAGGTGATTGAATTTCAATAAACTGCTTTTGCACTAAAGCGATGGCAAGTGTTTTGGCAAGGTCGTATTTTCCGTGACCTCTGGACTTGACCTGCAGAATTTTGGCTGCAGGAGTTAAATGCTTCTTCATACTTAAATTTGTGAATGCCGCAACACGGAAAATAAGAGCACACACTAATTGTGCACTGTAATCAGATATTTCTTATTGCAGAGACTCTGCAGCAACTTCAGTTTGTTCTGGCTTGCTTGCATCTGTTACAGCTGAAATAAAACATTAACAACAATTAACTGTCTTGAAAATATTATGTACACATAGAAATCTTGGCTAGTCATTCATGGGGCAATAGGGTGTTATCTCTTGTTTATGTTCCAGGAAGCAGATGGGAAAACTTAGAGTGATTGCAGGAATACCTCCTCCCCTCAAGCATTATTTTTTGTTAGGTTACACCATCAGTCCTCCACATTATTTTTTGGTTAAAAAAAGGTGAATTCTGCTGTTCTGTCACAGCAATAAAGCATGCCCCTAATTGGCACGACACAAAAAAGTTTGCATAGCACAGCAATAAAAGTGAAAAAGTACATATATAATAATAATATTATTATTATTATTATTGTGAAATTGCAAAGTAGCCCCTCAATGGGTAACTATTGGAATTGTTACTTCTGAAATAAATTTTGTGATTTCCAGGCCACCGTTTTTCACATTCCTTTCTGATCATCTGTATCCTGAGAATGAAATATAGATTCAATAATAAATGCTGAGTGCATACTCATCAGTAGTCTCTTCCATTTAATAAAGTGAAAAGCATCAGAGCTGCTACTTACTTGCTGTGATATAGATGTTTTTCTTCAGAAGTCATAGCATTTTTATCTTTCTTGGTAATTTTTCCCTTCATGGACACATTAGGCTGGCGACTTTCTTTAGGTTGGCATTCTCCTTTTCCTGAAAATTTATTGAATTGTCAGGGATTATTCTCACTAAATGAGTGAATACATAAATATTCCTACATTAACCTTAGTATCAAAGAAATTAAACTCCTATTTACAAAAAATTCAATGGTGTTTCACTTTTCAGATCTATTTTGATATGAATGCCTGAATACAATTAAGTTCACATGCAGTGAAAAAAAAATACTATAACGATAAGGAAAGGTAATTGAAATTTACTAACCCAACAGTTGCTTTATGTGGCCTAGAATAGTCAGCTGTTTGCCAATTGATGTTATTCCGATGTCTTTAAGGCACGATCTATCCATCATTGGCAGTGCCTTGCCTGAGATCTCAGCTTCTAAAAACCACCGATTAAAATATTAATATTAATGAATTTGATTTCATTCGGTCATTCACGCAGTCAGCTTAATTCGAAGAAAATAGCAAAATTTAAGCTTATGTTTGTTCACCATGAAAAAGCCTTGATTCCTCCTCGTATTCTGGTTGAACCTCTCGAAGCCATGAGGCAACTTGCTCAGGATTCCACTCGGATTCTGTAATTGACGAAGAATCAAGGATTGAAGTGGACACCAAAAGGCTAAATCTCCAACATTTAATACACAATGGCAAGCTAATGAGGCATAAGCCTAAAAGTACTGTTTTTTTAACTTCACGAGTCAACAAGCGCTGGTCATAGCTTTAAAGAAGTCTTCTTCAATCATTAAACGTTAGAAACGCAACTAAAGACGCCTTCATCCACTTTTTAAAGTAAAATGCTTGTATTTATGAGTAGATTGAACAAAATGTTTTATTTTACTCAAGAAATAGAAGTCACGCAAAAATGGCGCCAAAACGATCGATGATAAATAATCTCCAATTCAAGAGTCAAACTCGTCACTAATGCATCAAGACGGAAAATGTATCAGTTACCTGACTGAGAAAGTGGTAGATTTTCCTCAAAAGACGAACTGCTTGTTGTCATTTTGCAAAATTTCTTTCCCTTCGTAGACTTGAAAAATTACATGCAGCTCCAAGTCCTCCAAGCTAGAAGAGGGGGTAGCGAAAAGCGCGCGTCTTTGTCGTGGGTTGAGGTCATGCGCAGTACTAGTCCGAGTCTTTGTACCAGACTCCCGCGTAATCTTTGATCTCGTTCCCAGACCTTTGCCAGACTGAATAATGAACATGGCGGACTCGGTATGTCGTTTTTACAAATCGTTGCGGTTCTTTTCTTTCTTGTCTATTTGTTTTTTGCTTTGTGTCTTAAACAAACTGTAATGGAAGCAGAGGGAGACGTCTCTCTTACTTGCTGCTACTGCGAGTTAACCGCTCACGCTGATGCTAAAGAAATTAGCAAGGAAGGAAAACCTCATGTACACTTTCCATGTGAAAAATGCAATGGTCGGACAACTAAAAATATAACAAATGTTATTGAATATTTATTATCATGTGCTCGAAGGGATTTTCCAATAAATTGCCATCAAAAATAGCTTGGAGTTGTATTGGTAAATTACTGGTTTATCAGTCACATAACAACCCAAGTCTGCTTTTATGGTTTTTTCTTGGATTATCATATGCTAGATATGATATCCAATAAATTACCATCAAAAATAGCTTGCAAGTTTATTGGTAAATTACTGATTTGTGACTCATTTAACACTCCAAGTCTAGTTACATGGTATTTTATTGGACTGTTACCTGTTGAACATAATATTCCAAAAAACTACCATCAAAAAACCAAGCTGGATTATCAAATGAATGATATACCAATGATATTCCAAAACCCATCCTTTCAGTCAAGAAATTATAATGTATTCCAATGTTATTCCAATATTGGATAGTTTATTTTGGAAAGTTTCCAATAATAATCCATTTTGGAAACTCAGAATTTTTTCCTGTGTTCCAGAGGGATTACTATATGTTCTGCGATTGAGAACTGTTCTTTTGTTAGCTTCTTCTTCGGCGGATTCTATATAACCATTCTGCAACATCCACACCAGCTTTGTTAGAAAAGAAAAGAAAAACTATAAAATCCTGATTTTTTGGACCCCTTGCATATGGAAAACAAAAAAAAATAAATAGGTTTGAAAGATCGAAACACCGGAATCTGAAAAAAACAACAACAACTGGTGAATGGCTGTAAAAGGGAAATCAGTCTTCATTTTGGTCCAAATAATCGGAATCGGAGCTTAATTTGTTCAAAACTAAATAACCTTCCGGTAATTTGACAATATTTATATATCTTTCACTCTTAAACTACAGTGTATTAGACTTCACTTAAAGTTAAGGTGTGCAAGTAAACCAGGAGCCCGTACATTTTTGGGGTTTACAAAGTGAAAAAAGTCAAGTGTAGTCATTCTCTGTTTCGAACTCTACACGACACGCAGCAGAAATTGGACATACATCGCAAATCTTTTTAGGATTTGAGACCGGCACAAACATAAATCCTTTGTTTCCCTAAAATAGGCAGGGTCTAGTCTCCAAAATAGGAGGTTTCATTGACAGATCATACACGTTTGTATTTCATCTATTCTTTCGCTGGTTTAAACGACCTAACTTCATATTATTCCTTTCGGGTGTGGGCCTCTATCTAATTCTTCACCAAATTTTACAGCTGTGATCGATTTCTTTGTCGCTGAGGCAGTGTCTTTCATTCTTTGCTGACTATTTATAAATATTTTCTCTGACGGTCCTTGTATTATAATTATAAACTTTGGTTTCTTGTGTGGCTTAATATTTGAGGGCTTTTACGCTAGTAAATTGGCTTTTTGAAAATTGATTTTATGTGGTACTTTTGTATTTTTTAGGTTAAATTGTTGCTTGCTCTTTAAAGTAAATTGTTGCTGCGGTTGTTTTGCTGAACTTGTCATCCTGTGGTGTTGCTCCTGCAGGCATTTGTTTGAATATTGTTTGATAGTTCCTCAAAAAAAACAAAAACAAAAACAAAAACAAAAACCAAGTGGGTGTTGTAATTATTGATAAATATTGTTAAATTTTGTGTATGAGAACATTAAGTTATTTATATAGTAATTGAACACAACTGAGCTGGGTGAAGTACATAAATTCACAACTATTAATTTACAATTTAATTATTCCATAATGAATTAGGTGAAAAGGAAAATAATTATAGTGTTTGTAATTAAATAGTTAGATATAATAGTAATTAAAAGGAAAGTGGCTTAATATTTATCTAATAATCTTTTAGTGGTAATAATAATTATATTAGTTAAGGAGAAAGCAAAGAAAAAGCTACATTAACATGAACAAAAGAATGGCATTTATTGTAATATTGCTAACAACTGTTTTGTATGATTTAGTGTTTCATACTACTTGTTTTTTCCCTGAGCAATGCTATTGTTTGGTGCATCTGGTGGCATCTGTTCTATACAGTCACAGTTACATGCCTTTTGCTGTATTACATTATCTTGTTGAACCTTTCTCCAACTCAAACTCTGGCAGTGGGCCATATCATTCAGTTCCCTTTTACTTAGCAGCCACTGTCCTCATTCTGACTCTATCTGCTCTACCCTGTGGATTTCTTGCAGTTTCTTATTTGGTAATCTCAACAACAGTTGGCAAGAGCTTTGATGCTAACTCTGTCTATCCCACAGATCTTCCCCTGTTGTTCCCTTCTTTGAATATTTTCTTTGGCATGTTATCAATTGGTTATCCTTGTATAAAACTGGTTGAATATCATTACCCTGGCTTTTGCTTTGCTATGGTGTTCAGGTCAAAAAGGTTACGTTACATCTATTTTAGTTGTTGATGTAACAGGGAAATCACACTCTTTTACCTTTGCTCCACATGGAATGGTCTTTGACTTGAAATCACACATTAATTCAAAATTCAACGTAACAAGTGATTTATACTGGCTTTCAAATAAAGGCAAACCATTACAACATGACTTTGTGCCTTTACAGGAAATATCAGCAGGCCAGTGTTATAATGAATGGGCGTTTAACTGGAGGTGCAAAATATTGCCTTAAGGGGTGCGAAAATGATATTGGCATTGGCAAATTTGACAGCTTAATTGGAAGGTATGAATTGAAGTTGTTCCCCAAGAACTTACTGATCAACATGATGTTAACAATCTAAGAGTGTGTAACAAACTGTATTCTAGTTTGGCATCCGGAGGGCACAAGCCCGCAAAGGGTAAAACTCAATCCAAAACCCGAAGTGATGCCTATCATGGAATTTTGAAGGTCAATCCATGCATTGTGCAATGTTCACAGAGCAAAAAAAATGTCTGTCTTTCCAGTGACATTCCCTTCCTGAAACACAATATTAATGTGTTTAACAGTTTCACTTTGTTTTCAGTGGCATGCAACTTTCTAGATGAGACATATGGAAGTAAAACTGACTTTCACCATCACCTATATCAAGCTAGAGATTCAAATGATAAATCTCAAGTAAACTACATATGCATGTCATGTCAACCATTCTTTTTAAAATCTGTCAAAATACAGGATGAGTACAAGAAAGCTCACGCTATGTTTGAAAAGACACAAAAAGTGCCAATCCATCAATTTTAACTGCTGACCCTGTGATTGAAGCCAAATCAAAAGCAGGGAGCATCACTTCCACTCAAGCATCTGGGGAACCAGAAGCAACATTTGAGTTGCTTGATGTACTTTCAGACCTAAAAGGAGGGATTTTTGCGAAAGGGTTACTGCAACTCCTGGAAGAACACAGACCTACACCAAACACAACTGGTGGATGCTATGCTTCTGGAGAATGTTACCCAGTGCCTGGGGGGGCCTTGGTGCCTAATTCATACAGAATCTTTGAATCCATTCTTTATGACATCTTTCCATGGACAATAAATTTTTCAAATTCTAAAACAACTGATAACAATCTTAAGGTTGTTCTTACTAAGCCAAATATAAATATAACAGAGGGTGTTCAAATACCAAACTGAAAAGAAAGTACCTTTTTTTATTCCCTTAAACACGTCAAATGCAACAGAAAATGAAATTTGTCATTTCACAGTAAACATCATGGGAAACTTCCACAAATCATCTTTCAGCCAAACACTTTTAAAAATGCTCTACATAGTAACCCTTAGGGTAGGTGTTAGGCACTCCCTGCCCCTTACCCCACTCCTTTTGACTAGCCCATTTTCTGCTCTCTTTTCGAATTTCAGCATGCGCTTTCGCAAGCAAAACATTCGCGCGCCCGAAGAAAACGCCTGCACTGCAGGCTGTGTAAAGCATTATTATGTTCTTTCATTTATTTATTGCCATGGAATGCGTTTACATTGTTTTTCTACTGTTAATAGCTAGGTTAATGTCGATTTAGAAAAAATACCTATCATCGACTCTGGTTTTTGCAGAAAAATGTTCAGCGTAGATTCATTTTCTTCTTTCAGTACGAAGAAAAGTTTTGGTATGTTTTTATTGGTAATGGCTTCAGAAATTGTTATTTACAATTAAATTTAATTTGCAAAACATTTCCTTTGAGCGCTTTTCGCCATTTTGTGTTGCCAATGCCGGGAAATCGTGGGTTGAAATGTCTGTTATTCGGAGACATGACTGCGCCTTCTTGATTAGGAGCAAGACAC